CCCATATTTCTGATCGAAGTTCAAGTGGATAATATGGCAATTCTATTAGACTTATTATTTGTGGGAGATAAATAACATTGGATTGTAAGAGTACATGGAATAATGACGTTGGATTACTTACACTGGGTAGACTATATACAAATCGCTTAAGTATTTTCTCTCTCCAATACTTGACAGCTTTTGTGTTCCAATGGGTCTTAATTTCACAAAAAAGGTCATCCCAGTCATACCAATCATCATAAATAGTCCAATCCTCTTCTCTCTGTCCATATTCTTTGGTAAATTCATTGAAGGCTTTCTCCTTCTCAGCATCTATATCCTCATCAAACATTTTGCTAATATTGTAGATCAATTATACTTAATAAAAAATAAAGTACTGGTAGCGTGCATAGCTTCTTTTCAGTATATGTGAAAATTATGTTGCACATGAGGCTGACTGCTGATCCACTGCTCTGGATTAGTAAGATCAGTAGAGTTTCACCATTCTGCTTGATCGTCGAGTAATGCTACCGAATAATTTCTTGGCGCTTGTCTGGTTATAGCTATAGTGGAGTGATCGGCACCAGAGTCCACAGTCATAGATATATTGGAATTAAATTGCTGGTATAACTGAACCGGATCCAGAATATTATCAAAACTATGCCAGGTGTTATATAACCGACCACCACTCCGGAGCAATGGTCTAACTAGAATACAACGTTCACTCAATCTCCTTGATAATTCGTCGTTGATAAAATTTTTTAAGGATGCAACATCTCTTGGTGCATCATGTGGTATTCCCAGTTGCCTTGCGAGTTGATAGATCGGATCTAGGGGATGTACCCGAATCGGCACGAAATTCTCAACATGGATATTTGGACTAAGCGAGGAAACCAGCTGATCTACGACTTCTTTGCTAATATTATTACACCCTTCCAAATTGAAGTACTTTAAATTAAGACATGAACCAGCAATTTCTTTGATAGTTATATCGGTAATTTGACAAAAATTAAGGTCGAGTTGCTGGAGCCTTAGGCAAGAACGAATAACATTACAAATTGATGTTTCAGAATATTCTCTACGATTAGAGATATTTAGATATTCTAATCTATGGTATGACTTCGCGATTCCCCATAGACTACTGCCATCTACTTCTCGAGTACGAAAGCTCCTAAAGCCACCTGGCCGATCAATGCATAGATTGAGGTACTTTAGATTCGAGTATAAATCCGCTATCAGTTCTAATGCTCTATTACTAAATGCTATGCTATTTATGAAACTCAAGTGGGTTATATTTGGGCATGAATGTACAATGCTTATGATTTTTTTATCTGAAAGTGAATGGTAGTATGATACTTCGAGATGAGTTACATTTGAGCAATAAACTGGCGTTTGCTTCCTACGTACTAACTTTATGAATTTTTTCAATCGAGAGAGATCCTTTGCACGTTCTATCCTTATGAATTTATTTAATCGAGGGTGATCCTTTGCACAGTAATTTTTATAATCATTTGGAAGAGATTGTCCAGGATATAAGTCTTTCCCTCTCAATTCGATACGCTTCCACAGAATAGGGGCACCGCATCTGTACCACAATCGGGATACATATAGAGCGGGATAGAAGGATTTATCTATCAATAAGAAATGTAAAATCTGTTCTAATAGTTCTGGTAAATAAAAGATGCTTGATTGCGCCATACATAGTGCATGTTATATGTTGTATCTTTAAACGAAAAATCTTCCGAGATGGTAATCTCCAGCCCAGGCTCGAAGATGTTAGACTCGATGTAATAACCAAGTTTCAGAAACGCATAATAAGAAATTATTGAAGTAAGTATACCTTGATAAAAAATATGGCGCTTGCTCTTCCTGAATTACTAAAGAATATTTTAAATTTCTTAGCTAAAGATAACGCACTATATCCAACTTTGCTGGTCTCTAGACTTTGGTCTAGGTGCACTGGTCCAATTTTATGGGGTCGTATCGAATTGATTGGTGAGAAACAACAGGAAAAGTTTATAAAAATGATACGTATAAACTCTAGACCAATTTTTAGACATAGTGTGCAGTGCCTCATAATTACGCACCATTCTTATCTTTCGAATGAGATAATCGAAAAAATAGTCAAAGTATTTCCAAACATAATCCATTTAGATTTTGAGCGAAGTACGGGTTTTGATGATACGACCTTAATCAAGATTTCTCAAGTATATCCCAACCTGATCCATCTTAACGTTTCTAACAATGGGGGCTTAACCGATCATTCTATCACTAAAATCGCAAAGAAATGTGATAAATTGCAGTTCTTAGATATTGGTTTTGGTGGAGATATTACCGGTAAATCATTCTGTGAAATAGCACGGTCATGCAATGGGTTAAAACATCTAGGAATTAGTTCGTCTTGGATACATGTCACTGACAGCATTATATATGAAATCGCACGATCCCTTCCTAATCTCCAATCTCTAGATATCAGTTCTTGTAGTAGACTTACCGATACTGCTATTCACACCCTTACGGAATCATACCCAAATCTGAAAAGTTTAAAACTCGCGCACTGTGATGGAATAAGTGATATAGCCATCAGAAAAATCGCACAATTCCATTGTTTGGAACATCTCAACCTCTATGGTATGAGTGCCCTTACTGATAAATCAATGCGCATTATTGCGAGATCGTGCCCAAATATCCAATATCTTAATCTTCAATCTTGCAACGTTACAGACGGAGCTATAGAAGAAATAGCTCTATCATGCCATAATCTAAAACATCTTGACCTTTACGGAGTTCGACAAATTATTTCCGACTTGTCAATTTCCAAAATCGCAAAAATGTGCCCTAATATCATATATCTTGATCTAGGATACGCTCCGTCTATTTCCTGTACAACTCTCAAAATTATCGCAGAGCACTTGCATGCTCTAGAATATCTTGGCCTGAAAAATTGCTATAGAATTAGTCAAAAAATAGTAGATACACTATTTCCTGATCTCGAAATAGGCGGGTATTACTCATTACCACTTGGGCGGTAAGAATGAATGAATTCAGATAAATTTTCTGAGCTGGCGAGGCCCATTTTAAACCACCAACTGTTTAACCTTTTTTGGTCGTGCCTTCCTTCATTGCTTATGAGGGATAGCCTCATTTTCTTTTATCACAATTGTCTTAACCGAATCAGATTCTTCAGAAGAACCCTTACCTTTTTTATCAATTATCGAAGAAACTATTTCTTGTATTAAGTCGACCACAGTTTCCCTATCTACACATTCGTCCAGATTTTCTAATTCATCTTCCAATTCATCTTCCAATAAATTGACCTTCCTTTTAAGCTTTACATATTTGATATGATAATCTTCCAGTCTTTTTTCTAATGCCCAAATCTGTCCAGAGAGTGCTTTATATGCTCTTGTATTCTGCTCATCCAGTCCTAATGACTGGGCTAATTTCTCTGTATATCTGATAACTTCCTGCTCGCTAGATACGTCGGATGAATGATTTTGATCGGTTACCATTTTTACGATACTTTATATATGCTATATCTTGCCTCGGGCGAAAAAAATAAAATTTAATAAATGATATCAGATAATAAATCAGTCCTCCCGATTCTCTAATCCATATACAGTATGTGATTAGTTTTCATCGAAGAACTTGAATGCCTCTGCCTGATCATAAGGTTCCCCTCTTCGCCTGAAATTAACTATAGTATATCTATCAGATGGAGCAGTATGGTTGTCGGGAGAGTTGTGAAGTGCTTGACTAGCAATAGTATTAGCTTTTGACAGATTCCTAATCCCACTCGCTACAACTGCAAACACCGCTCCTAATTTGCGCAAAGAGCTAGGAACTAGTGGCTTATAAGGTTTAGGAATAAATTCTTCTTTTTTCAGAAATGCACTTAAGTATGTAGATCCAGGCTTTCCTGGATCCCTTAACACTCCGGAGATGATTGCTTCCTGAATCCACGTAAGCAATTGCCTTGCCCGCTCCTCATTTTTTTCTAGCGATCTAAACACCCTAGGAATATCCTGTTGACCTCAGTTTTTTGCGTATCCAGTTACATCTCCATTAGATATGCGCAAGTTTTTAATTTCAGCTAGGCGGATGCAGAGCATGATCATTACATCAGCTAGGGCCTGTTTGTCAGGTATATTAGATACATCATACAAATCTAGCCTTTCCTTAACCGATTCTAACGAGAAGTGATCCAGAAAGTGGACCCCTTCATTTTTACGTTGCTCAGTACGCTCCTGTTGGATTTTATTGGATGCTCTGGTTATCTCCGGAATTTTGGTAGCGGAGATTATTTCTTCTGGAGCATTGAGGGTTCGCAATTCTCTTCGAAGCCTAGAGAGACGGGATAAGCTAACGACAGGATCGGGGGCAGTTTCGACTAAGGTTCTAGATATCGCTTTTACATCTCTTTCACTAAGATTATCCCGTACAATACGCTGAGCCGTTTCTTTAATAGTCTCATTGGAACAAGTATTATCGAAGGATACTTGGCATATATTCACTTTCCCGGCTTCTGATCCACCCTCTTTGGGAATTACTTGATTTTTACTTCGCCCAATTCTCTCGTGAGGAATTAATGCATATGCCTGTTCTTTGCTAAACTTATATCCTTTTTGAAGACGATCACGAGCCTGGCGCCTTTTCTCTTTATCTACCTTTGGCACACCAGTTGTCAAGAGCTCAAGTATTTCTGGGGCATACTGGCTAAGCTCTTCGAGACTCATCTCATTGGTGAGTTTGTGGTCTGTAACGAACTTGGTTGTAATAGCAGACATTATATAGAGTGGTATGTAGAGTATAGAGTGGTAACTAGATTAATCTGTGGTATTCAGATTATATTAAGTGGGGGAAAGTTCAATTCGAAAAAAATATTCCGATGATCGGTGAAAAATAATAGAGGGGGATATTTGCAAAGCGAACCTGGGCGAAGGATATGAAAAATAATATAACTCGGAGTTTTACGTCGATTTGAAAATTGCGGGTAGATAGGATAAGCGAAAAAAAATAATAATAATTTGGAATTATATATCGCTTATGTGTAAAGAACATAAAGACCCTCTTACCCAAACACCTTTCTTATGAACCAGCTTCTTATTCACTCTTTACCAAAGCATACCATTCTCCTGGAGTATGCTTACCGTTTTTTTCCATTTCTCATGGTATCAAGCCAGGAGGATGTAACTCCATCATCCTCAAGACTACGACGGATTATTTCTTCTCCTATTAATCTTTCCCGTACTTTCATGTCCATATATTCTTTGGGATCTTCTTCAGTCTCTATAGCCCAACCACATATTCGTGAATCAGTTTCCATTCTATCACGGAATGCAATGGAATCAAGTCGGTCTTTTTCAGTGATGGTCACGAAGGCATCTGGATTCTCGCCGAGTTCAACTGCCCTTTTTCTGAGACGCTCTTCGCGCTAGGGTTTTGATAGAAGTATGGCAGACGATACTTCATTGATAGGCTTAGAAGAATCGGGAAGCTTGCTAGTTGTTTCTTTAGGGGGCATATTCGTGTTTTTACTTATGGGTTCGTTAGTTTTAGAAAGCTTATTAACTTCAGGCTTATCGATTACTGGCTCAGGTGGTTTAGAAGTCTCGGATGTCCTAGATGTTGAAGCACCTAGGGGTTCAGCTTGTTCTGCCACATAGTTAAAGAGAACTTGGGTCGAATCATCCTGTTTATCCGCTTTCTTACCCCTTGGAGGGAGATTCTCTTCCGGTTGAGGCGGGGTTATTTTCTGGGGAATAGTTGGTCTCTCTAGGACCGTTTTTGGCACATTGAATATGGGTATGTCTGTAATCTCATTTTCGGGCAAGTCGTCTTGAGATATATCGGAAAATTCTTCCATATCACCTAAGCCAGATTCACGGAGCTTGGCTACGATCTTGGGGCGGTCAAATATATACTGATATACTCTTACTCCATTATCTCGTGAACGTGTCTGATCAATACTAATTAGTGAAAATTTAGTTCCAGCATCCTTCTTAGCCAATGGCTTCTCTCCATTACACTCACACCATTCAAGATAATCCTGGTATACCTTTTTACAACTAAACCTATTAATACAATTTTCAGGCCAAGGTAGAATATAATCAATTATAAATCGAATAGGATTAGGAAGTTGTCTTCGCATTGTTTCTATCTTCATTTTAGTTGTAGGAATTTCCAATTTGTTAAGTTACGGCTAAGAAGGTATGACATTACTACTCCTGGTGCATCAGGATGGTCTAGAATTTCACCTAGCCGGTCGAAATATGGTATATTGCCTCTACAGCATGCAGAGACATCAAAACAGACTATACGAGAATCTTCTATATCTATTTTAAGCGGGGCATCCTGATTGCTTGTAACCATATACCCAGCATAATCATTTATTCGTATAGTTTCAAGGCCTTTGCGTTCTATAGCTACCATTCGTTCTGTTATGAGTGATTTGAGATGCCCGTTAAATCTATGCCATTCCCCATTAGACATCCCAGTCTCATTCATAACAATAAGCTTTCGAGCTTAGATGGCACTATTAAAACGCCCAAGAATTTTCTCCAGATCTGACGTTGCGAAATGGAGGTGTGACTCCAAGACTTTGTCACCAATAAAATCAGTGATGATATTTTTCCCGCACTGTTGTAATGTAGATTTAAGAACTAAGATAGTTCGGGGTTTATTCTCTGGCTTCTGAACTAAATATGCCCACCAGTTCCAGATATATTCGTTAAGCCTTTCATCCCCACTACAGATTACGTTCTTCACATGCCAGAGAATCGGATCCATAATTTCTTTATTAATTTCTGGCGCTGGCTTAGCCAAAAATCCTATGAAAAGATTAAAGAACTTTGTATTATAAGCTGGAGTATTTAGCGGATATGGAAGAAAATTAATATTGCGGTAAAGGATTAGACCTTTGGTAACCGCCCGATCTATTAAATTAATTAACTTTACCGGCTCTCCTCCTAGCTCAACTAAGTTAACTTCATACTTGGCAAGATCTAGTTTTGGCACCATATCAAAATAAAGCCCACCATTTGTATCCTCTGTCTTGAGTACCCATAATCTTGATGTCGTTTGAATACAGGCGACTGTTGCCTGAATTGTGTCATAAATCTCATTACGAGAAAATTTTCGCCCAGAGGTGCTCATATCAATTAAATCCCTCATACGAAACGGTCATTTGGGTCAGAAATTCTGGATCAGTCTAGTTTTGTAGGACTTGGGAGCTTTTGTTCTCGATCCAAGGCAGTTTCACTAATAGTAAGCTTTTTCGAAGGTTTTCTATAGCCGGGTTCCTTATCATTGTTTGCCCGGTAGCAGAAAAAGCTGTAGGATTTTTTATTTCGAATAATATATCCATGATCACTATCATGTTCTCGGTCACATATTGGGCAGTGCGATGGAGAAATGCGTGATAGTGGAAATTTGTTGGGAAAATTTTCAGATGGATATGAGAGACTATACCCTTCGATGCTAGCTTCTTGAAGTAATGTCTCTACTAGTTCGAATTCAGCTATAGTTGTCTCATTACTTATGCTAGCATATTTTACACTTTCCGTCTCTGGAACAGCCAAGAGAGGACTGTTGTCGATGACTTCTGATTCATCATTGGGCGGACGAATCATGAAATCAAAGATAGTTCCATCTTTTGGATAAATTGCTTTTTTTACACGAACGTGTACCCCTGTTTTTTCATTGTATTTAGGCGATCCAAGTATTCACAAGGAAAATGATCCTTTGTTTGCTATATTAGCCCTGTTCATTTCTAGATCGTATCGGATTGACCGAAAAAATGTATAACCAATCAGATCATAGTTACAATTGAGCACAATTTTGATTGATCGGATTGGTTTATATATCCATAATAGCTTATAGGGCAAAAACACGTAGTTGTTGTTTATTATGTTTATTATAAAATCGATCAGGGAAAAACACCAATTTTTGTAGATCGGCTTGACTGACCGCTGACCGCATCAGTAACCAATTATTTTGGGGTACAAATTTGCGATCAATCCGGTCCGATCTAGAAATGAACAGGGCTA